TCATGATTGGCAATCTCATGTTCTAAGTCCTCTTGAAGATTATCATCAGTTACACTGGAGTGGGCATGAAGAATGAGGCCTTTTCATTCTGGTGACTATAATGAAGGAAAGATGACCTAAGCCTTAGGTTTTATGATCTCAGAGCAAAGCTTGGTGAAGTCCCTTGGGTCACACATGTATTTTCCTAGTCGTCATGGTTAGAATGGAAATATCTAAGGTCCTCCATTAGTGGGATAATTCTGAGGTACACGAGCACATGCTCTGAGGGACCCTTTGATCCTTGTCCCCTTAAGCAAAATGGAAATTCTGAGATGACTTTAGTAAAAAACAGTCATTCTTTTGACTCTTCTTGAACAGAGATTGATGTCCTTCACTGTTGTTTGTAATAGCAGAAAGGCCTGATGACTACTTTAACCCATGGGAAGTTCTAATAACCCATCATCAAAAGGGCATGGTGTGAGATGCGTTGAGAATAGGGACATTTTGGAGAGCCTCTATTCAGAGGGGAAGCTTCTGAGGTCATTCTGAAATGAATTGATTAGATAGAAAGTGCCAGGCCTTGTTTAACCAAATAGCAAGATCCACTCACTCCATTGTGCAGAAAGGAAAGGCTTAGCTTACCTTGGGTGATGGGGTGATGGTTTAGTTCTGCATCATTTGCTTCCAGCTGTTCTGCCCAGCTCCCATGATCTATATACTACATCGCCTGTTGAGAAGAATGCAAGAAGCAATACAACACTCTTCCAAGATGTTGAGTGGTTCTGTGGACCTTATGCTTTCTAAAGGTTGTATTGTTCTATGTTTATCTATCAATGAAAGATGTAAACATTGCATTCAGGACAACTAACTTCTGGGCAGATAACAAGACTATTAGTTTTAGCTTTCTATATTTTGACCTCTGATCTAAACCTAGTATCTTCAGAGGTCCCATTGGTTGCAAGTGTTTTCCTAGCAAACTTGGTTGTAGGGATTGGCATAAAGGTAAGATGAGTCCGGGGGTCCAGTGAATGTTGCTCATGAAAGGAAGGGGAAGCTCTAGGGCTTCCCAGTGTCAGAGACTAGATCTGAATATAGAATGAAGAAATGATACCTGATTGGTCATGGGAGCCAATTCTGAAGTCTTATTCATCATTGTGGCATAGGCCAGACATCCTTGGGCAAATAATTAGATCTCTGTAGTCTTTTTGGTTAAAGGGCATAATCATAGACCCCCCTTTGCTTTATACTGGAGTAAATGTGGGCAGATCTGATTCCCACTTATAAAGCGTGAGTCGTGTAAGAAATACGTGGTCTGAGGACTCTTTAATCTTTTGGAAAAGACTTGGATCAAACTTGCAAAATAAAATTTGAGGGCATTTTCCATAAAATGCATACTTAAGACCAATTTGGGCAATTGGGGAAGGTCTAGAATAGGTTCCGTCCTAGGAGGAAGGTCTGATATTCTCTTCAGTGACGTAAGCGTGAGGGAACTTGTGAAGAAGGGAAACACTGGGGCCTTTGTGTAAAAGGGAAATTTTTGAGCCCTGGTTGGCTAAGGGTGTGAGTTGAAAACCCCTTGGGCAGAGGGGGTAAGTATCATACACCATTCTGTTGCAGGTGAATGTCACTGCTACCTCATTCAGTGAAGGAAGGTCCCATCACTGCACTTCAACTTCCAGCTGTTCTTTAGAGTTCCCACATCATCAGTTGAGTCTTGCATAGTTCGGGAGCAACCAAAGCCTTCTTCAATGAACCTACATGGCTGTCCCTGGCAATGTTGCCTCTTCTTTCAGGTTGTCTTCATAGTTTATATATAGGCAGCAATGGTTGGAAAAGTGGACTTCTATTGATTAGACTGAAGCACATAGCTTAAGATCCAGTCTCAAATTCTATACTTTGGACCTGGGCCCTCGTACCAGAGTGGAGCAATTCCTTTCCTTAGCCAGTACAGTACAGGCAAAGGAGACACGATGGGACCGCTTCATTTCTGGTGAGAATCTTAAAAGTAGGAGAATCAGATATTTACTGTTTTGTCCTAGGATAACAGTTCAGTGTTATCTGACAGCCTTTTTGTCATCTCGGCATGCCTGGACACCCAGATAAAAAGGGAAAGATTGAAACCTTCTCAGAGGAATAGAGCTGAGGTTTCCACAGATAGAAGTGGTTGCTCTGAGGAGGTCAACATTAGGGAATTGTTGAAATAGGAGTGGTGGGGCTGTGTCCCCAGCACCCCAGCTGCCTGCTAGCTCATGCCCGAAATAACAACACACAAATTGTATTCTGTTAAACACTGCTTGGCCCGGCTAGTTCTAGCTTCTTATTGGCTAGCTCTTACATATTGTTCTAACCCATTTCTAATAATGTGTATAAGCACCCCAAGGTGCGCTTACCGGGAAGATTCTAGCCTCCCTCCATCCTGGGTCGGAGCTGCCTTAGAGAGCGGAGCCTGGCGTCTCTGCTCCAGAGAGCAGAGCTGTCGAGTCTACCCAGGAGAGCTGAGCATGGCGTCTCTGCTCCCGAGAACAGAGCTGTCTGCTCTCTCCGGAAGCAGAGCAGAGTCTGACCTCACTTCCTGTTCCGCCCAGCATCCTATTCTGTTTACTCCTCCCACCTATGCTTTAACCTATCAGGGCCAACCAAGCAGTTTCTTTATTGCTCAATGACCTTGCTCCATCAGGGAATATTTATTTAAAGCATACACGATAAATTGGTGAAGATATGACCAAATTTTCATGTCACTGAACTAATCTGTATCCTCTTGATCAGAGGAGTTTGTATTAATCCCCTTGAAATGAAATGGTGTGTCTAAAGTTACCTTGTCCAAGGTAAGTAGAATGTACCCACCTTCCTTGACAGGTACTTTAGAGTCAGAGTTTCTTTTTAAATAAATATTGGGCCTAGAGTTTATCTTGGAATGGAGGGAAAATCTGGGACTCATTTGTTAAGAAGAATGTCTCAAACCCACCCGGTAATATCAGGAAGTGTGTGGTCCCCTCACCCAAAATGAATATATAAGCTTCCTTAAGACAAACTGGAAAGATGCAGGGCTCCCTTTGATTCAGGGGAAGATATGATGTCTTTATAATCAAAGGGAGAAGAAGTAAGTACCCTTGGGGAGAAAGGAGTTTCTGAGACCCATGTGGCAAGGAAGATAGGGTCAGAGTGTAAAAATATCATATTACTCCAAGCATAAATTCAATTGACTTCCATACCTCATATGGTCCTAGCATTGTGTCACCATCTAACTCCTCTTCCCAGTTTAGGATGTCCGTATCTTTAGCTGAATCTGCAAGAAATCAAGCATTCAATCTAGGATTCATTAAGAGCTTGGGTGGGAGTCCTAGATCTGGGTGGGA